CACACACACACACACACACACACAGAGCATCAAAACATCAAAGCCTGTGATAAGGGCTGACTCATCTTTAAAAAAAACATAATAAAGATTAATTATTAACTCATTTATCTGTTATTTATTTTTACAAGTTATTTGTACAAGTGCTTCCCCATTCCCCAAGGCTGCTTTGACCCCATGAGCAGTGGGGTCATTAATCCCCCATATCATCATTAATTCCCCTCAGTACTGAACCTCGAATGGGGTCTGGTCACCACCAGACGCTCCCTGCCACCGAACCGACAGGGCACGCAGACAGACAGCTGGGGGGTTATGTAAATGGCCAGGGGTGGATGCTTGAGAGGGGGGAGCACGCAGACCTTGGGGTTTGGTGACACCTCGTCTGCCAGAGGAATGTCCCACACCGCACCCACCGTCGGTGTCTCTGCCGGTCACATCTGTGGCCAGCACACAGTTAATCGTGGCCCAATGCTGCCTCACATGGATTCTCTCCATTGTTCAGGTGACAGTGTTTTTTTTATATTTCAGCTATAAATATCTTCAGGTCAACCCTTAATTCCCCAAATCCTGGGCTGTCATCTGTGTAATCTCCTCAACTAAGCCATTAATAACGGGTCTCAGTACCAACTCCCCCTCTCCACCACAGCGGGCAGTCTGCAAACAGCGTTGGTCTGGGCAGCGAGAGAAAACTCACTGGCGCCCTCTATGGGAGGGTCATTTGTATTGCCCAGGGAGTGTTCATTACAATGAACATGCACAGTTGCACAATTACCAACACAAGAAAAGCCAAGGCTGAGGGGTAGTCAGCAAAACGTGCTGATTGAGTTAGGGAAATTTCCAGAACATTTGCCAGTTGGCTCCGAGCTAATTGGAGTACTGGCTTGCAGGCACCCACCTTGGTCACTGCTCTCCTCGGGTGTCTCCTCGTGACGCAGGAAGAACTTCACCTCCTGCTTGCGGGGCCCCCACTTCTGCAGGTGCTCATACATCATGCAGTCAAGTGGGATGGATCTTTCTGGGAGAGGGAAGATGGGCAGAGTTAGCAGCAGCATTGCACCAAGCCCTAGACCATACCCCCCCCATCTCAGTTTTATTAACAGTACGTCATTAATGGTTTGGGTGGTGGAGCTCAGCCAGGGAGATGAAACAGAACCAAATGCAGAAGGCACGGGGGGGTGGGGGGGCATCAGGCCAGCGGGATGCACCACAGATTGGCATGAGGCGCACAAAGAAAGAGCCCAGCACACTTCACTGGTACACATACACAGGGACGGAACACTCACGGGTGCAGTACAGCTTACTACCCACAATGCAACAGCTTGCCATAGGGTGAAGAATAAGGCTTCTGCTCTCTGACACTTTGCAGACACACACCCAGAGACAAAGCAGGTCAACCCCTCGTTCGTCTCATCAAGCCCTACTGAACAAAAAACAGCCGTCCTGTTGAGGTGAGGACACGCCCCCCCCGAATCTTCCCCCCCCACCGAGGACGGGCCACTTGCCACGCACCCCTGACGGTCGGACTAGTACCTTCTGGAAACCATAAAGCCACCATCTATTACAGCATCAACTGGCATGATTTGAAATCTCTGTGTCTTAGAGGGAAGGACAAAGTCAGCGGTCAGAGGTCAAAGTCAGACCGTTCTCAGTTAGTGACGGAGCGCTGGTAACAGGAGGCCAACAACAAAGCGGCCTTTTAGTGAACAGAGGGGGCATCGAGCCAAGGACAGGATGTCCTCAGTTAAATTACCAGCCCCCCCGACTCCCGCCTCACCCCTGTCCACCCTGTCTCACAGCCACTCACCAGGGTGGATGTTCATGGAAGGAGGTCTTTCACCGGCCTGAAACAACGAGCCCCCACCCCACTGACTTTCCCCCCATAGGCAAAACAAAGGACCCGTTGTCACAGTGAGGCTCTTACTCGTGGGGGGGGGGCATGCTGTTTGCTCAGGAAAGGGAGGGGGCTTACTGAGCGTGAGGAATATCAGCCGTCTCACAGCAGACCCACACGGCCAGCCTGAACGCTCACTGTGCCCCGATGGAGGGAGATTTACAGCGAGGGGGAGAGACCGAGACACAGGCTGCCAGGATGGATGGATTGTAACTTCTCATGCTGAGACACCGGAGGGCTTCACCCCTCTGATGATCTGAGGGGAGGCCAGCAGAGGCCCACACCAGCCCTGAACTTCAAACGGCTCTTTGCTCCGTCTCTGGACGACAGCTAACAGAGGAGCTTCAAAAGGACACCAGAGGAAATGTGCTCCAGTTTGCGGTTTTGGCCGGTCGTTTAAGCGGCCCATGCCCAGCGGGGGGCGCCATCCTTATTCAAACACCAGGAGCTTATACAGCTGTTCAGTATTATTACAGAAGTTGCGCAAACAGCTGCGGGACATCCCATAGCCGTGGAGGCGGAGGTGACACGGCAGACCAGGGTGGGGGATCTTACCGCTGCCCCGCCACACTTCAGCCAAGTGGCAGCCAGACTCGCCGGGCTCCTTGCAGAACTCCACCACATCTCGGCACGTCGTCTCCGGGGTAACGGGCACCTCCGTCAGGACCTGCTCATTGTTGCTCAGGTACACGGTCAGGATCATCTGGGAAGGGGATAGAGAGAACGACCAAGTCACACATGGAGAGAAACACCCCACCCACCACACGGCACATCCCCGCCGGCCGCATCACCACGGCAACCGCAGTATGCAGGAGAAGCAGCTGACGATGGGAGGGGGAGGTCGGCAGGAGGCTGGGACCAACCCAAACTCTCCCCTCCCCCCAAATCCTGTGATCTAGTGCGAGGGCATGTTGCTACAGGTGGCCGTTCCGTGCCTGCTCTCCTCGAAGCCGACAAGGAGGACAGCTGAACACACTGACGGGACGTCCCGAGTGGGCGAGAGAGAGATCCGGAACGTCCCAAGTGGGTGAGAGAGAGATCCGTAACGACATGGACTCGAGACGATAACGCCGAGAGCTTACATCTGCCCTGAAAGCACGCCGAGCATTTCATTATGGAACCGGCTTTAAATAATCAGATGACATGTTTTTCTGAACTCGCACAACGGGAGCCAGTGAAATACCAGAGAGGCGTTCCCCCCGGAGCACCGTCTGCTTACCCTCATTACCGCCGCATGTCCTGACAGGATGGGAGGAGCCCCTGCATATACCAGTCCACGGCTGGGAAACCCCAGGCCCACCAGCCCACCTTGGATATGAGGGCTGACGGTTTTCCAGTCTCTGCGAGTCATTATCTCCATGGAGGAGTCAGACATCTGACGCATTGTGCCCGCCATCACACTCGGTAGACGCGTAAACAGAATAGGAGCACAACCAGAAAGACTGGACTCAGACAGACAAAACTCCAGACAGATGTGTTCTTTCAGAGAACGAGGCTGCGGAACACATCACAACAGAACACTCACTACAGCCACGCACAGAAGGAGGTTCTGACAACTACGTCACATATCACATGACCAAAAGCATGGGGACATCGCTATTAGGGGACTTGACTAATCATAATACATGCCCATTGCTGATACACAGTCACGTAATCTCCAGTAACAAACATTAGTAATGGGTACAAAAAGAGGTTAGTGATTTTCAACGTCATTCACCATCTTTCCAATAAGTCAACTCACCAGACTTCCTCCCTGATCAGTGTAAAGTGACTATGAAGGTCAAAATGTCTGGGAGCAAGTCTGGCAGTGTGGTGGTCAGCAACAAGCTCACAGAGCAGGACCTGATAACCCAACATCAATACCGACACCCAACCTGAATGGCAGCAAATCCCAGCAGCAATGTTGCATCATGTAAAGGAAAGCTTTCCGAGAAGTGTAGACGCTGTCAGAGCGACAGAGAGTGGACCAACTTCATATGAATCCCCTTGGTTTCAGACTGAGAAGGTTGAACAAGCTGGTGTCCACATACTATGGGCCATACTTTCTACTAGGAGGACAAAGGCCATTTGTCAACTTCCAGAAGGATCGCAGGTAAGCATGTCCACTGCCATGCGGTGAGGCTCTAGTGGGCTTCCTGTCGACCCTCCTGTCCAGGGTAGTTCAGCCACCAAGGTGCTAAGACAGCAACCCACGACTGAATGTGCGCATGGCCAGCCAATCAGAAACACCCGGCAGAAGCAGCAAACTCGAACAAGGAAGTGAGTCAAGGGACTCTGGCAGGAGGGTGTTCTGTTACGATGACATGGTCCAGACAGAGACACACCAGTGGGGATTCACAGGAGCAGTCTATGGCACCTCGTAGAGCAAGACACCTCCATAACATGGCTGACAGAAGTGTAACAGAAGCCCTGGGTCAGTAACAGTAATTCACACATCTCTCAGCACTCAACTTCCAGCTGTGACATGACCTTCCCTCGGAGTCTGTGACATGCCCTCACCACACAAATATCTCTGTGTCCCACATCAACTTGCTGACCAAGACCACGGTGTCCGAGGAGCCTTTCAGAGAACTAAGCACTGCATTCGTTTTGAACCGGGTGTTATTAGACTGGCCATTCAAGTGAAGATGTCCTACACATGACCCACTGTATCAGATCCAGCCTCTGCTCCACCCATCATCCTGTTTTCACTCATTCTGCCTGAGCCCAGGAGGACTAGCCACAGCAGAAACCAATAAAAACGACAGAAAAAGGTGGATCCCAAGTGTGCGGGGATCCAACTGGGGAATCAGGCATTTGGGCAGCACAAAAAAGAAGCTCAGCAACGCCCCCTACACCCAGGACGACGAAAGTACACCAAGGACGAATTCAAAGAAGCTAAGGCCCATGTAGAGTCTCAGATGGCGTAGGTGGGACACCTGTGTGGTGGAATTGCTGACTGGTGCAGAGGCAATCTGATTAGAGGATAGGTATTGAAAGCAGGGGGTTTGAGCGAAAACACTCACAGACGGAGCACAAGGCAGACGGGGGAGGTTTCCTGTTCTATGGGGAGGGATAATCCCCAGAAAGCCCAAATTCCTCAGTTAAGATCCCGCTGCTTGTCAAGTCTACACAAACATAGCCTACATCACCCAGGAAATCCACAGAGGCGCACATCTGTCAGCAGTACATCACCATGCCCACACATACACACACGCACGCCAGCTCAGCACCCTCTAACCATGCGGCACAGTCTAACTGACCAATCACGAGGAAGAGGCGTGGACTCTGTGATGGGGGAACCAATCAATTAGCATGGATTGTTTACAGACATCCCTCATGGCAGCTTACGGATTTCCATGGAAACTGAAACGAAACCCCAATTACCCGTGTTTTAAACTGGCAGCCCATCCAGGGTGTACCCCTGCTTAGTGCCCGATCCTGCCTGGAACAGCCCCCTGTGACCCAGCCCAGAAGAAGCGGTTACAAGATAGATGGCATTCCCCATTCATTTGCACCTCAATGGTGTTAATGGATCTCAGAGATCAAACATTTGACACACGATTCACCATAACACAGTACAGAGTGGCACCTGAATCAAACGCAGGTCACGGTGAAGCCAAAGGAACTCGGGGGGGTTGGGGCATGGGGGGGGACGTGCTACAGCTGCAGAGCAAAGAGCGCCGACCACAGCAAACACTTACAAGCAGAGAGCAGGCTGGCTCACCAAGAGGACAAGAACCTGCACACCATGAGAAAAGGGTCCCTTACCAATGCGAGAGCCACAGCACCGTGCAAAGCATGACAGTCAGCTTAAGCATAAACCTGAGCGAGCCACTTAGAAGCCACTGAAGACATCCCGGAGACACGAGTCAGCACACTGACCTCCACAGCCACGAGGAGGACCTTCAGGCACTATCAGAATCCAGGACCACCGAGACCACTGCCACACTCACCTACAGAGTACTATCCCCAGAACCAGAAGGTCCAAACTGCTGACAGAAGAGGTCAGCCCAGCTGCACATGGCCGGCAATCTTGGTGATTCTCGATCCCAAGCCGGCCATCACATCACAGCACAGACACATACCTGGAAGTCCAGTATACCTGACTACCTCCCACAGGTGGCGGAGCCTTAATTCAAGAGCGGATGAGAACAACTTCTTGGGAGAAAAGGATAGAAACACACGCACACAGACAGACCAACAGACACACAGAGAAAGACGGTGCGACCCCGGCTTCACCTTGCAGCCCCTGCGCGGGGCGCTTCTCCTACGCGGCCGGGTCCTGCTCTTGGAGAGGCTGACCAGGCTGTGGAGCACCAAAGTGAAGAACCTCCTCATGGAGCCGCGGGGAGTGGAGTGGAGCGGCGAACGGCAGGGAGCTGGCAGCCCCTGAGTCTCTGAGCATGAGCACGAAGGGAGGGACTGTCACACTCAGCCCCTCCGGAACCAGGGAGACAGATAAGGCACGCGGTGAGGGAAGGCAGGCCCCAGCGTGACAGTGCCAGATAGGAGCCCCCCCCCCCCATACCGCTTCAGGCTGTCTTAAGTGTCCACATCCTCTACGATCTACGACTGCGGCAAGGTCCCCCTCCCTCGGCGGGGTGCCATGCACATAGGCATCCTCCCCAGGAGCTTTCCCCCCCCCCACTGAATCCTCAGGGGTATTGTGAAGAGGCCAAAATGTACAGAGCGGCACTGCTGTCCACACTGTCCTACATAACCCCTCCCACCTGAATAGCTCCTCCCCCTTCGAAACAGCCGCTATCACCAAGCACATGTAATTCATACCACTTTCATAGTCTCGACCTCAGTAACTCCATCCAGATTGACTCCACCCTCAACACCGTCGTTCCTGGGTGGTTTAGGGACCCGGCAAAGATGAATGTGATCTCAGTGTCACGTATCCGTCACCGGGAACCACTTACCAGGAACGCACATCACCGGGAACCACTTACCAGGGACTCGCCTGTAAACAAACACAGCCACAGATCCCCGTGGAGCGTCTTGATGAAATAAGGTTTGAGATCCACACGCAAGCGAGGGCCAGGCCCAAATAACCGTCATGATATCGAATAGCCCCTGATGTGCACGTCAGAGCAGAAACTAGGAAGCTGACACCAGCGGTGTTAATCAGCGCTCGCCTCAGAGGACTCCAATGGATCCTGAGGAAACCATTACAAAGACTTCCTAAATACCAGTGTAGGCTGGGTGACAGGTCACATGACAGGATGAGGGGGATTCGGAGAGGGGGGTATTTCCTATAGCCAGCTAGCCACCCCTTGCCTGAGGATAGGACTCGCATAGTAATCGCAGCCAGGGCAGCTAACCCAACTCATCAGCCACGAGCCCTGCAGAAGCCCGGTGAAGCAGCGGGTCACTGAGGAGGACTTTCCATTAGCATCCTGTCCCCGCAAAGATCCAGGCATATTACCTTAATGCTGATGGGTTTCGTTTATAAATAGACATCCAGGCTGCACGGAGCCCTAATTACTTCTTCAGAGATAATGCCGACTTTGACATCTGATGGACGGATATGTAGGTTAGGAGACTCGTGAGCTTCGAGCTTCTGAATTAGCCGCCCTGTGGGGTCGACGCAGCATTGCGCTTCAAATATGAGCCCGGACCAAACCCAGTCCCTCGATGTTCTAACGTTAGAGCGCCACTTTGGGGATGGTAAGAGAGAGGAAGGAAGATCCACATCAGGCGATACAAATCCCTGCTAATCACACAAACATAAAGAACTGATATCTGCGTTGATGGTAGAACAACATTTTGCACTCAATGTCATACAAACAGGCCAATTTAAAGACAAAGATACATGCTTAGTGATTCCTGTCCCCCTAAGGCTGACAATCAGCGATCAAAACGCCAGAGAAGTGGACCTCACCTTCCACTACCCCCAGAGAGTCCAGGCCTGGCAGCAATACACACAGGCTAGGGGGCAGGGGTACCCTGTCAGGGGGCTGCATGTCACACTGAACTCCACAGAGAACCCCCACCACGAGAATGTGCCCCAAAGGACGACACCTAGGGGGAGGGACGTGCCAAAGAAGCAGGACTGAGAAGAAAAAAACAGATCAAGGACATGAGGAAGTAGAAGCCTTTCCGAAAGTATGTGCGTGTGTGTGGGGGGGGGGGGTCTGTCCACCATCCCATAAATCGCCAAAACAGAATCCAAGGGCAGCCAGAAAATCCAAACTGAGCTGGAAAACAGCGTCGGCTCCCATGATGCTCTGGGGGACTGATTCACTGCTTGGGCCTCCTGACCGCTGGTGGTCAACACGGTATCCAGGGCAACGGCAGGACACACAGAAGCATGTCCCTCGGCATGCTGGGAAGGAAGAAAGCGCAAACAGCACAACCTTCCAGACACACACACACAAACATCCCGCCCCTCATACCAAACACACCTGGCGGGGGGGCAGCCCACTAGGGGGAAAGAAGAAGAAGCATTCACTCACAGATCTCCTCTAATCCTTGACATTAATTCAGCACAAAGAACGTACATTAAATAATATTGCTGATGGATATATAAGGAGTCTCCCGGGAGATGCTAAAAGGCAGCCCATGAACATTCACACGCCCCTCAGATCCGACACGCACAGACCCAGGGAGGTGAGACGATGGGGCTCTGGACAAGCGATGCTGGGGTTTAGCTTCTCAGATGTGGTGCCCCAGAGGGGAGAAGACCCCACCCACAAACCCACCCCCAGCCCAGTCAGGACCAATCACACCTCCCCAATCCTAGATCCACCCCCCAGCCCTGGTCCCCTGACATGCTATCAGGGCTCTTTTCCCGGTAATCCTCTCCATTGTCTCCATCTTATCTGTCAGATAAGGTGAGGCGGCTCGGTGGAAACGAGCGCTCGTATCCAGGGCCACGTCCCTGACCGGAGTGCCTCACTCACCCCGCCCACTCAAAGCTCTGCTGCCCCACACGTGTTTATCTTCTCTCTGCAACCACTCATTATTGGCTGCGGCCATCTGATGACAGCCAGCTCAGCTATACTCCCATTGGCCGACTGGCCGGTCACATGACCCTCCCCAGGATTTCACTGTGATATGGGACACGACAGGAAGTCCTCGTCTCTGAACCCCAAAGGAAGACGCAGTACATCCTCTTACGGGACGTAACGCCACATCACAACCATGTTTTTAATTTATTTTTCTGATGCCTTTATCCAAAATGACTTACAGTAGTGGGAAGGGTTACAATGTGTGTGTGTGTGTGCCCCCTGGGATTTGACCCCATGACCTTTGCATTGTTAGTCTAATGCTGAACTTGTTGAGCGATATGCTGTTAGAAGCTTCATGAGGGACAAGAGACTGAAGGTAAGCTGGAAGAGCACAGCGCCAGGCCAAATTCTCTTGCCCCCACCCCCAAGGCAGAGGAGCTCACAGCCTAATGCGCTGCGGTTGCGGTCAGTGTCGAATACTCGCTGCTGAACATGACCTAAGCGGAAAACCGTTCCACTGACTCGATCCCAAAACAGGCGGCAGGGCATCAGTGATTCAGTGGGAACAGGAGGACATACCCGTCTCCTCCCCCCATGCAGGGTGAAACAAGATGGAGGCAGCGGCATCCTGGCTGTGCCGGCAGCCTACTTAAGCAGCCCTCTGAGACAGAAGCTCTCCATCTCCCGTCGGGTCGGCTCTATTCTAGGACGCCCACGTCCCCCTCCCTGCGGCAGAGATGAGCAGGCAGCTCATGGAAAGGCCACTCAATACAGCAAGCTTCTTGTAAAATACCCTCTAAAAAATGTATGCCTTTCGGTCTAAACATCAGTGGGGGCTGTGTACAAACATAACATCCTGCTGACCTTAGTTTTAGGAGAACCGCATTTAGGACTACAGGCAACTGCCCAGCCACCTATGGGTCCTACACGTCCACAATCCCAGTCGCAGGACATCCAAGTCGTCACATGTCCATATCCAAAAGGAGCTGGAACTGCTGGCCCTCACAGCGCATATACCCCCCTTGCAGATCCCACCCCCACAGCACTGAGCAAAAACACAGAACAGGGTGGAGTCCGCTGACCTAAGAAGGGGCCGAGAGCACAGTGAGCTCACAAGCTACACGCAAGGCTGTCTGGGAAACATACCATAGCGTGATGTGCCTTCGAGCCCAGCAGGCTCGAATCCTCCCACACCCAACCCAGGGCCACACCCAGCTAAGGGAGGAACCAATCAGAAAGCTGCAGAATAAAGAGCACTACATAACTAAGCATAGTACTCACAGGAGTACTATTCAAACCGCATCATAACACTGTCTTACGTTCAATGAAAATCACAAACAGGCTTAACTCATAACTCATAGCAGATTTAAGGCTCGTTAAGCAAGTACAACCTGTATGACCCGAGTACTGAAATTTGTCCTGGAGGTGAAGGACGGGGAGGACGCAGGCTTTGTTAACTAAGATTAAAACAGGTATGTCTTACATTTGAATTAGGCTAGAAGGATTTTTTTATTTACATAAAGTCAAGAATAATTCATGTCACAACCCCGTTTCCAAAAAAAAAAAATTGGGACACAGTGCAAAAAGTAAATAAAAACAGAACACAATGATTTGTAAACGATATAAACCCATATCTAACAGACTGTAACAAGGATAACATATCACACGTTGAAACAGATTTTGTTGCTTTATGACAAATATACCCTCAATTTGAAATTGAAGCCAGCAATATGTTTCAAAAATGTAGGGACAGGGGCTTGTTTACCACTATGATGCATGGCCTTCTCTTATAACAACACTGTAAACATTTGGGAACTGAGGAAACCAGGTGCTGGAGTTTAGAGAGTGAAATGTTGTCCCATTCTTTCCTGTCCCAACTTTTTTGAAACGTGTTGCCAGAATCAAATTCAAATTGACCATACATGTCATAAAACAAAATTTCTCAGTTCCAACAACCGATATGTCATCTTGGTTCTATTTTCAATTAAATAGGCGCTCATATGATTTGCAAATCGTTGCATTGTTTTTATTTACATTTTGGAAAGGGGGTTATAATTACATACTACTACAAGTTAAAGGCTCTACGGACAAAAATGGTCTCAGAAGCCTAAACTCTCCTGAACTCATAATCGAAAATGCCTACCAACAGTGTTACTCATTAAGCCTAGCAAGTGGGGTGTCACTGCATCCAAGTCTGATGAAGAGCTCTGCTTTCCAGTCAGGTTGACGTACACAAGGTACCAGATTTAGCATCACAGCTTAACTTCAATGGAAAAACAATGGTTAATCTAATCAACTTCTGTACAAGAGCAGCGCAGAATCCTGCCACGTGACCTAGGTGTAGCACGGTCATTATTAGACTCATCTACCAAGGCAGGATTTACATCACTCAGGAATTTCCATTCATTGTTCCCTACAGTAGACAGGCAGACGGTCCCTGTTCGGGGAGGACATCAAAAACATGTCTTTAAACACCGAGCCACCCGCTGGCAATCCTTGCGGAGGAGAAAGGTAACTGGGATGTAGTCACTGCCCTTGTGTTCAGTCCGTCCCCAATGTTGGCTATTAGGGCTGCAGCATGCTGATCGACAGATTAGAAACAGGCTGGAATCTAATCAATGACTGCATTCAGCCATTTCAGCCCTAAACAAGCCTTATTACACTCAGATCCAACCCCACTCATGCCCCCCCCCCAATCAGCAACCCCACACTCCTTCCCAGCAACTCCATACCTTCCACGCTGCTTGACACATTTTGATGACATATACTTCATGACTTCTTGAATGATAAAACAAAAATTATACAGGCAACAATAATAACGGTCATTAATCATTTTATCTGTTAATGACTAATCGTCGAGCCACCTTTAATTGAAAAAATCGCATTTATACCAAACTGACAACCCCACACCACACAAAAATCCCCATTACTCACTAACAAACATGTTAAATGAAGGAAAAAACAGACTTCTATGGTTGACGGCGTCTTAAATACTTTTGGAATGTCAGAGTAACAGCGTCGTACCGACAGCAAGAGCCCCCCGCCCCGGTGGAGCGGAGCGGGAAGGGCGGCAGGGGAAGCCGGGCTTTAGGGCTCAGTGCAGCCGCACCGGTTTCCCCGTCAGTCCGCACTCGCATCCAAGTTCCCGGGTTATCACTAAGCGCGGCTGCCTCATGTAACTTATTACCACGGTAAATTAACAAAAACTGAAATTTTGGGCGAAGGTGACGAAAATGCAGCGCCCAGCGCCTTACTGTCTAACTGGGTTGTGTGTGAAATTCACCCCGCTGTAATTAGTGATTTATTAAAATACCCTGCGAATTTCCCACTCGATCGAGAAAAAGTACCGTCCAAAATCTCAGCGTCCTGCTGCGCTAAATGCGGACTTCACTAACTCCGCTCGCGCTAATGGCTTAACTAGTACTAGTTAACTCGGTAACACCTTTACTAACCACCGGGATACTCTAATACTCTAACGTCACCCCCGTTGACAGTTAAACTTCGCCGAACTATCGGTTTTATTCTGACACCGGAGGGCACAGGCACAGATTGTCGGATTTGTATTTAACTAACGATAACCGCTAGTTGATAACTTGGTTACTGCGGGTCCTGGGTCCCAGCTCCCCGCAGACCGTCCCGGAGCTCCGCACCGCAGCCATTAACTATCCAACTAACTAGCTGTCGGTTACCAAACATATTCACACCTCCAAACACCGATTAAAGTGATTTAAATTGCCAAAATGGATAATAAAACATAGCACACACCGGCATCATGGCTCCAGTCCGCTCGGATCCTGCCGTCCCGCAGTGGGGGAATGACGGGCTGCTCCCGGACCCTCCCCCAACTATCCACACACCAGGACCGTGCGGCCAGCGGCACGTACACAGCGAGACGAGGGCGGGAAGCGGCTCTGCCGCGGCCGCCCGCGCAGGAAACACCGCTGCTTGGCCGGGCCGAGCCGGATGCGTCCAAAACGATGGACGGTGGCGCCGGAGGAGTCAGACCGGAGGAAGGGTCGTGTCCACTCGCGCTAGAAGTCGGAGAAGAAACGGGAACTGAGTATTTAGGGTCCTACGATCAACGAGATAAACCCGCGCTTTAGGTCGGCGTATCTCCCCAGTGTCCTGCTAAGGTTAGCCGTGGCGCTAATCCTGCGAGCCGGGGATCCGGGCCGATATGCGCCCTGGAAAACGCCGCCCGGCGGGCGAAGCGTGGAAAGTTGATAAGACGGGACGTCCGGCGGCTGTGAGGAAGGGGCCAGGCCGGCAGCCAGGGACGCCGGCGGCTGAGCACCACTCACTAACACCGCAACTAGTCATTTACATCGGGTTCTGTAGATAGTGATAGATGGAGATAAAGGGGTCCTATGGAAATTCAGACTGCAGTGGTCATGGTGGAAAAAGCTGCTTAAGTATTTATTTCACACATTTGCAAAATACACTTCGTGACCATTTCAAGTTCTTTCGGCTCGTCGGTCACACGGCTACATGAGGAATGAATGGAATGTAGATGCTGGCGGTACACACCTACACCAGGTTAACTCTAAAGCCTATGGCATAAATAAAACACACGTGCTTAATTAACCGCTGTAATTGCAGGCATTTTCCATCCGTCCAAAAAGCATCCTGGGGAGAGACACGGGGTGTGGGTATTTTAACTGGTCAATTTTGAGTTACAAGGCACACGATATGGATACTATAAGACTAACATGAAAAATCGCGATTGTATGCGTAACAATTACAAAACAAGATTTAAAAAAAATGATACTGGATAAGATATATCGCTAATGAAAATTGGGTTTTAATTGCTTTCCACCAGATGGCGTCGCTGTTCCATCCATCCCCTTCCATTCACCATAATCCAATGCAGAGTCTAGAGGGGGTCCAGTGTATCCTGGAAACAAGACAGGGAAAACCCAGAATACCAGAAAAGGGGGATCCCAGGTAGGGAGCAAACCCATCACAGGGCGCACACACACACACACATCTACAGACAATTTAGGAACTACAACAGCAAGTCTTTGAACCGGAAGGGAAAACCAGAGAACCCAGATGAAACTCACTAAGACACAAGAACAATTCAATACACATAGTACCAGGGTGGACACTCAAACCTTGGTCTTCAGAGGTGTGAGGCAACTGTGCTAACCATATATAGAGATCACGTCTATCTTCCACTGAACTACACTACACTGAACACAGTTGTGGGGATATAATATATACTGACCACCAGAACTATTATTAACAACTGATAGTGAACCATATGTATATTAATGGCATATATTGTGGGCAGTTGTGTCTTAATGGTTAGGGAAGCACACTTGTAATTGAAAGATTGGTGGTTTGAATCCCCAACCAGCAAGGTATCGTCCCCAAGCACTGCTCCCCAGGTGCTGAATTACCTGCCCCCTGCTATGTCATGATGTCACATGTGGGTTAAATGCAGAGGACACATTTTGTTGTTGTGTGCTGTAGTGTGTCAACAATAACCACTGATCACAAAATTCTAATATTGATTTTCAGAAGTTTTCAAAAATTCTTTTTTTTTGTCAAATCCCTCAGGTAAACAAAGACATTTTTGGTTTTGTTATAAAAAAAATGTACGTATCATGTTCACCTATACAAGCCTATAAGTGCCCCACATACATAGGCCTGCCTCAAAATAGAGCCCATAAAATGAAAAATAAGTGCTTCTTCTGGCAGAAGAGGCAGAACCTGCTAACATTTTCATATGTATCATCTGTGTTTTCTTCCAAAAAAAGGTGAAGTAAATAACTACACAAAGTAAATGGTACATTTTATTGGTCACACATTCAACAAGCTATACAACTGTAATCAATTTCATTTAGACTAGCATAGATTTAAATAACACAAGAACTAAGCATAAAAAATACAGTATTTTAAATTGATTCTTCCAATTTTTGGGAAAACCAAAAAATTCATATGAGGGAAGGTAAGACTCAAACACTGTGTCACCATAACAAAAGTTTTAATGGCACCAGCCAGGCTTCTGCTGAAAGCCAGGGACAGACATCCAGGGTGGCATGTAAGCAGGTCACAAATCAGTGTCCCGATTCTGAAAATGAAGAGGAGAAACCCAAATCAGTAGGATATTACAATCAGACTAAATGATGGGTAAATCCTGCATGTTTGGAACACATGCTAAGGGAAGGGAAATGGTCGAAGTGTACTTACTGCCTTTCACAGCTTTTTTGCCTTTAAAGAAAGACAAAATGTCAGAATCAACATAACAGAACAGGCATAATGTCATCATGTCAGTAAAAGATTAAGGTCAATATGTTCTTTTAAGGTTAAGTCCCTGGAACCCTCTGTGATGGGTTTCATCATAACTGAACTGGGCTGATGATGCCTGACTAAAACCTATTCCCAACACTTACCTCCATAGGAGACCTTGTAATACAGGTAGGTCATTATCCCAATGCCCACCCAGACCTCTTGGTAAGCTTGCGTGTAGTACGGCTTCATTTTAGACCACCAGGCTGCAAATGCACGACCTGCCATGACTGCTAAAAAATATAATAAGGAATCATTCAGTTTGTAAATCCCAAACCCATTTCAACTGTCAATCCGTAACAATCACACACAATTCCACTACAGGGACTTCTAAAATAACATCACACGGATTTATCTTTAACAGCCTTAACATTACATACTGCTGCCGTTGCCAGTATAATTATTCAGTTTTCTATGTACAAGCTTGGATGCATTTTGCTGGAAAGTCACGGTAAAAACAAATGATTTTAATAAACGTAGTGCAAATAAAAGGCATGGACCCCAATCATTTCGAATATGACAGCGTTCTGTACCATTGCCGATGGCTTGTGTTTTGCACAATGGCAGAGATTTATACGAACTGCTAAATACCAAACAACACAGCCGTCGTTAACATATGTTTATATTACTAATATTTATAAACTTACCTTGCAAATCCGACCGATGAACACTGCGACAGAGAACCGGAAGCTACAGAAGGTCACTTTAGGTTTTTATTCGTTGGTAAGAAGCGTTTATGATTTAGTGCCGCCTTGTGGTCGGGAGGTATGAATACAACGACTTTCGAACGTCAAACTGACCCAAACTCTCAATAAAAAGTATAAACGTACATCAGAGGGCCCAACTGAACTTTGACTCCATCATAGCAAGAACTAAAAAAAAAAGCTTAATATGTGGTTAATGAGAGATATTTCAAAGGCTGAAGGAATATCTCGCTCAGTGTATGTTTCTCTTTCGCTGGATGTACCTTTGAATGTGATCAAGGAGCTGAACAAAATGCTTTATAGATTTATTTGGAGGAATAAACCTCACTATTTGAAAAGGGAAACTATTTGTAATACCAAGGGAAACGGGAGACCAGAGGTTTTGGATTTTGAAACGCTAAACAACACTTTCAAATGGCTCATTGACTTCCCGAAAAGTAAAGATAGCCTGTGGAACATCTTTCCTAATTATTTCTTCAATATGTTTGGTGGTTTACAATTCCTGCTGAAATGTATTTTTTCAATTGACAAACTACCTGTAAAATTGGCCAATTTTCACAAACAGGCTCTTTTAGCCTCGAATTTACTTTACAAGCATAATTTTTCAACCCAGAAGTATTATGTTTAGAATGACAATGATATTTTATTTAAAAACAAGACACTTTTGTATCATTCTTGGTTTAATAATGGAATCCTTTTGGTCATACAGTTATTAAATTCTGATGGTTAGCTTATAACATTCACTGAATTTTTGAGAAAACTTCAAATACCCATAAGACCAAGGGAATATGCTGTGGTTCTTGATGCTATCCCCACAGGTGAATTAAATCTTCTAAGGAAGTCCAGTTTGACTGACATGCATGGGGATGTAACTCTTGCTCACATTTATATTGCAGAAAAGGATGTTGTAATTGATAAGATTAGTAACAAGGTTATTAGAAAGGCTATGCACACGGCTACACTACCTAGAGCACGATTCTTTTGGTCTTCTATGTTTCATGACATAAATTGGAAAAAAGCATGGACTATTCTTAGTAAATACTGCATCAATAACAAGGTTAAAGATGTGTCATATAAATTGTTACATAGGATTTAGCCGGTAAAACAAATTTTAAGAAGATTTAAATTGGATATTGATAACACTTGTGATTTCTGTAGGATAGAAGAGGAAAATGGTATGCATATGTTTTATTACTGTATCTATACAAGATTATTCTGGATAGATATGCAACAGTTTAAGAACTTTAAAAATTATATAGTGATTGGCCAATTTGATGTATTTTTTTATTTTAAAGGTAGTAAGTTGATGCTAAACAATCTATATGTTATTAATTTACTTTTGTTAAAAGTGTATATACATAAAGTGGGAAAAAAACTAACCAAACTTCACATATTTTCTGGTGGAATTTATACAATATGTAGATGCTATTCAGAAGTGTAAAAACAAAAAAGCACAAAAAACATATCAACTTATCAAGTCCTTCCAGGATATGTGATGTGTATATAAATATACATGTAATCTTTAAATGTTATTTATCTTTTAATAATTGTATTATCTGTCGTTCGTATATACACACACACCTGGCACTGATCATGTGTTATACTGCATACATATGTCATTGTACCTTATGTTGATTACTGAATAAAAGAAATAATGGTAATAATTAAAAAACAAGCATTCACAACTAATGCGTGAATCTGTAATTGTCCAATAAAGTTTAATGACAGAGATATCGTGCTTGAAATAACGCCGTGATAAAAATCGCACAGATTCCATAAATACAAACCAAATAACTGTTGAAACAGGTCTGTTGTCCTGTGGAATACAAATTAGATATGTAATGGAACATTACAAATTGTAAAGTTTAAAAATGTGTTGCATTGTGTCTTTTCAGTGTGCAAGGCTGAAAGGAAGGAGGACTTCTGCACAATTTTTTACTTTTAGTTTCACTAATACAAGAATGCTTTGGTTATTTCCATATTTGCCGTGCATTCGTATTTGTAACTCAATTATGTAAAAATGAATCTTATTTAGGGGTCATTCCAAATTAACACACCTCAAAATTAAGTAACTGATTCCCCTTGTGTTGGAAATAGGTACTTTTTTAAATACACGGTTAATTATGAGAATACATATTAGTACTTTTACAAACGTTAACGCTAAGGTTTGATTAACAGTTTGCATGGACTTTCTACGGGTCGGCCTTAGGGACACTCCCTGGCTTTCGGCTGGTATTCATTGGCTGCGGCACCTCGTCACGTGTCCGCGCGTTTTCGCGCCTTAGATTTTACCCATTTAAGTCGCTTGCAGCAGAAACAGTGAAAAGGCGTCTGCCGAGTTGCTGTTTCACCGTAAGCATCATGAAGAAGACGATCACCGCGGAGCAGATAACCGAATGGTTTACCGCCGGTACCAAGTTCGCCGGAATTCGAATCACTGACGGGCTTCAAGATGAGCCCAAGGCGGTGGGAGTGAGCGCCGAGAGCGGGTAATTCTCCATACAGAATGACCTGCTCAGATCCCCGCCATCAGGGCCGTAGCCAGCTATGAGGTCACCGAGTGTCATGATAAAACTTGAAGCTAAATATTCACACCACTTATGGAGGGGACGCTGTCAATATTGTAATAGACGAGACCGACCGCCCACCCTGGGTCTCAGACCTCACTGGCTGTAAGGGCCTGGCCGCCATCTGTGATTTCGCCGGTGTTGGTCTAAGAACCGACACCTGGGTGGTGCTTCCACAGCTGCCCACCTGCCTGCATTAATAATGACTGGGTATAACCGGCGTTTAGTTAATTTTAAAGCGATTGCGTAAAAGACGTTAAAAAAAGTGGTGTGTGTTAGGCCGGTTTGTTGGTGCCCCAGCATGAGTCCATGTGTATTGCAGGAGATGAACAGCAACATAACATTGAGAACGAGGAACACAACGACGTCAGGTGCACACACATTTATATGATCCCGATTACCAACTCGAACGTGCAACATTAAAATATGATCTCTGAAGATATTAACAGTGTGAGACTATCTTGCTCCGACATCATGATGGAGCGTGAAACTGGCTGTTTTCGACTCTACTGGTCATGGTTTTCATGGGTGCGGCTTTTGAGACTAAACGCGATACTAACGCGATATATGTAACTGCGTTACGTAATCGGGATACAAAACACCAAGTAACTATTCCTTTACAGTTACTGAGAAATGAAATCAAAAGTGTTACAATTTGTAACAAATAAAAGCGCCTGTTTGGGGAGCATCTATGCGCGCCGCCATCGTAAATAATAAATCAAGATTGCTTCTAGATTTAATAATAATACATCTAAAATCGACGAATGGTTTTCTATTGCATTTATAAAGAATGCGAAGCTGACATCACGCCATTTTCTGAGAGATGTTGACGTCTGTTCTTAAATACTTATGTGGGACAGTATAATTGCCTAATAAGTGATCTTTTTGTCATTTGTTTACTCCTGTGTTTAGTTGTCATTGATGTAATCCAAAATAACTACAATTAGGTGTATTACTTTTATTTTGAGGTACTTGGATCATGTTACTGATTGCATTTTTCAGCAGGTAACTAGTACGGCATTACATTTTTAATGGTACTTACCCAACATTGTTTATAGTGTCATATAAATGTGTATGGTACTGTGAGATACACTTCAGGAAGTAAAGGTCTACTTTGCTGGATGGGTTATTTGTGTGTGTGTGTGTGTGTGTATGTATGTATGTGTGTATGTATGTGTGTATAATATATTCTAAAGGGTGTCCTGTTCCTCACATAACACCAGTGAGGTGAGTATGGACCCCCTGGTGGGTGGTGCTCTCGGTCTCTGGGCACTAGATGGGCCCAGGGTATCCATAGGGCAGGTCCCAGTCCCTTGGGGCCTCATAGGGGCGGACGCCTCGCATCCTCTTGTCCACATAGCTGGAGATGGTGGGGATCTCCTTGCACAGTGGCTCGCTGCCGTTGGCCGACGTTGGCACGGTGATGCCCCGCTTCACCTGGAAGCGGCTGGTCCCCTCCTCTTCTTCGTCCAGGAAGTCCCTCAGCACTTGCTTGAAGACGTACACCAGCTCCCAAGGGAGAATGTTGTGGGCGGTGAGCACCTCATGACACCTGGGGCGGAGAAGGAAAGCGTGGAACGTTAATGAGCGAATAGACTTCTCGGGATCCCCATGAGCGAGGAAATGAGGAATGGAGGGGGAGCAGGTGTGCATGCAGGAGTCTGAGCCTGTTCGGATCTGCCTTTTCTGTGTGGTCGGGTAGCATGAGCCGTGCCGAGGTACGGTAGCTGTACTGTTATGTTGTGGGTGCGGTGGCAGCCTCGTGCACCGGATCCGGACAGTACGGTTAGCAGGATCCTGCCAGCTGACACCAGTGCTTTCCAGGACATAGCGTTCATACCCCTGTATGGCCCAGGGAGATGGCTGCTGCCCCCCCACCCCAAATGCCGCTGTGGGGGGGGGCGCTCATGCATGACCGCTTTATTCATGCCATGCCGCGGGGTTCCTGTCCTCTTTTGCGGTGACCTTCATAAATGACGGTGATGCAACTGACTGAAGGCCTGTAAAAAAAACAACGGGCAGCCAGTATCCCTGCATACGCTTTTACCGAAACGGACTGCAGGCAATTCCTGGACAGATGGGACACAAACCTGACCGTTCGTGGGGAGCAGGGAGTCGCACGCCAGCTTACCTGGACAGCACCGCGGCCGTGTTCGCGGGCCGGATCTGGGCGCACAGACATTCCAGTGCCCGGCGTTCCGAAGGGGGAATGGGAGGCCTTGGGATGGGGTAGCTCTGCACCCGGCGGTATCCCATCATGCCCTGGGTCTGCTGGTGCTGTCGTTCCATGTCACAGGCCAGCCTTTGGCGCTCTTCCATATACCGGAGCAGCTCGCGCATCAGCACGCAGCTGGACTCCGCCCCCGCCTCTGTGGACTCCGCCTTCCCCCAGGTCCACTTCATCCAGCCAAACAGGGGCATGGTGGAGCTGGGAGAGACACCGTCCAGCGGGTCTGGGCTGCCGGTCAGCGCTTCTCACGAGCCGATGGCTCCTCGTTGACAGACAAATTAGCCTGATGTGTGTTTCTTACTTTTCCGCTCCATTTGGCTGCGGGTTCCACACGGCTGTCTGGCTGCTTTGCCGCTTCACTGGCTCAGGACTGCAGGTATCTGATCATGCAGGCTACTGTGATTATGGCCTGTAGGCCTGTCTGATTTCCCGGCGTTTTACACAGATGGTAGGTCTGCCTTTGCGCGCGTTCCTGACCATTGGCTTTCCGAGATGGAGGCTTCGTGGACGTGGCCTTTGAGCGCTTCTTTGTGCTGAGAGCTGCATTAACATTTTTGTGTTTAATGGCTGGAACTGAAGCAACAGAATAGCAGTCTTGCACACCGTGAGCCGTTATAATTCACACACAAACCCTGCTGTACTCATGCATGCACACACTCCGTCCTCAAAAAGTCTCTGTTACTTTTCTCTCTTTCTAGCACATAGGTAACACCCCCCCCCCCATGCTTACCAGTTCACTGCCTGTCGCTCTCGATGCCCAAAAAGCCCGTGCCTCTCATCGAGGATCCTCGCAAGCAGATGTGTAATAACCCATAGGTGCTGTTGTGCATGGCTGTCTTGTTTATAGGTCTGTGTTTCTGGCAGTCAGTGCAGGGGTGAGTGTCATGAGGTTGTGCCCAAGGAACGGTCCAGAGAGTCCAGCTGAATGATTCTGAATCTGTGATCAGACAACATTAAGACAATTTCACAACGGAGGTTTGGGAACGACCTTTCAGAGAAAGTGCAACGGCTTGGAATGGACCATGCAGGCAAACGTCACTCACGTGGAGGACTGTGGCGGACGACCGCGTGGTACCGTGTGCTACCGTGTGCTACCGCTGTCCGCTGCACCCTGCTTAGACTCGTCCTTTCTGCTGTTCTCTCTCTCATACGAAGTGAAGTTGAATGGCGTGCAGAGGGAGAAACTTCACCGGTGATGTGGATCTATGGTGTGTGTGGGGTGGGGGGGAGGCCCCTCCCCTTTCCCAAGGCCCCACCCCTTCTGCATTTTGGCTTGGCTCTTGGCTGTGACTGTCTAGTCAGATAGGGTCTGAGCCCAGTGCTGTTATTCATAGAGGGCTGGACTAACTGGCTGTTGGGTACGCACACACACACACACACACACACACACACACACACACACACACACCCCAACAGGCCTGAGGGCTTCCTCTGACACCCCCATGCTGCCACCCGCCCCCCCTCCTCGATCTGTGAGGCAGCACACAGTTACATCACGTCAGTCGTTAACCAAGAACCCCAGGATCACCCAGGGGGCGACAGAGAGCTCATAGTAAAACCATAGCTGTTAAGAAGCTGGGGGAAATTAAGCTGATTTTTTGTTTTGTTAACATATGGATTCATCATTCTTGGGGGGGGGGGGATGTGAAGCTCATTCACTCATTAATCATCTGCGGGTTTCTGCTGACCGCCCTTAATGAGCCTGCCGGTACCCTGGGGGGAGGCTACGGCCCCACGTGGGTCTGGAGGTGCAACTCCTCCGCTCCCCCCAGTGGCGGCTGATGGCCCTGCAGCCATGTCTGACTTCCTGTGTGTCTCTGTGGGAGCAAGAAGCTGTGCACCGCAGACGCAGCCCTTCAACTTGCTGTATGTCGAAGTTTGTGTTGGGGGGGGATTGTTAGGTAGAGATGCCCCTGTCTGGGGACATTGGGGCATCTGGTTAGGGGGACGCTCTGGGGGCAGGGGCGAGGACGGCACCATGATGCCGGCTGCCACTGGGAGGAATGGAAGCCCCACAGCACGTCCCCTTGGGGCTGAGGAGGCCTCCCCAAGCTGCTCCTGAGCTTCAGTGGGGTGTGACAGCAGGAGCTGACAGCAGGCATTCGGCTGCAGTCAGGGACCCAGCGGGCAGGTTTTGTAGTACGATCAGGCAGATGTTTACACCAGCACCGTATCATTATACCTGCATCTAAACCCCAGACCTTCTGTGTGTACAAGTATGTTCATGCCTCTGTTTTACCACCTATAAATTCTTGTTTAATATTTTTATGGACAACAGAAGCTTTTCCAGTTGTCTGCCCCCCCCCCCTATATATTATGTGTGCTTATTAATAATACAATAATGCACACTGTTATCTCTGTGTCAATGTGTTGCTGCATATTGATGCTTTAATTTCCCTCCAGGACAGCAGATGGCGCTGTAGAGCAGAGCAGCCCAAGGAGCAGTGTAGCAGAGGGCTGCAGCAGGGCTCAAAGTGGCACAGAATCATCAAGCAGTGAGTTAAAGCTCTTATTCGGAGTCACCAGTAGGGCATTCGACTCATGCATTGATGCCAAAATGGGGAAAAAACAGCAAGAATGTTGAGACTTGTGTATGACAGTGTGTCTGTGGTACTAGCAATGAGTGTGTTTCTTTTCTGCTCAATCTGCAGGCTCTCCAAAGTCCCCTGGGACATATGAGTACCGCTCACTGCCAATCACCAAAAACCGACAGGAGGTAAGCAGGTGACAGTGACCCCTCCCCCCCCTCACCTCTGTACACTCCATACTGGGCCTGGTGTCACGACGACCTGTGGCAGCGGAAAAGGATCTTAGCTTTTTGGTCTATAGATTCTTCTTAGATTTTGTCTCTTCTTTGCCATTTTGTCTCTGTCTTCTATCCCTGTGGAAGCAACATAATTTTCATGCAGCAGAATGATGTGGCTTTAAAATCTGGAGATGGAGATGCAGCCGGCATTTCTTCCTAACCTGTGTAATTGGGCTTGATGATATTTTGAAATTAGTTTTTTTTCCTTTTCCATTTCATTGAATTTCGACAATGAATCATATTAAAATTCAAGGTTATTGTAAAGTAGGCATGTAACAATGAATCTCGAATCGGTTAAAAATCGATATGTGTATGACGATTTAACCCGGCTGATGTGGAAAATGAATCGCTACTTTGGGAGTACTTCACGGTACTTAACAGAAAAACTGGCGTAATATTACACAGTTCGACATCAGATGTCACTGCGTATTCACGTCGACGTCGTATGTCACTGCGTTTTCACCGAAGGCGAGATGGCGAGTGAATTTGAAATTGGGGACACACCCCCCGATCTTAAACCGGCGGTGTGGCAGCCTTTTAGCTTTCCACTAATCACAAACGAAAACGGCGAGAAAAGCACAGACGACAAAAACTCCGTGCAAACATTGTAAAAGACTGATAACATTCAAATAGCACATCGAACATGCTTCAGCGCTGACAGTATGGTTTGTTCCTGGGTATTTGTTCTTAAGACTGTCGTAAAATAGGTTGGAATTGTGTTAGTTTCTGTGATATATGGTATCAAAATATCAGTTTGTTCCTTTTCAACAGTTTTATCGAAGTTTCTCACGTTGTTTTAAATTTTATATGATGTTAAGTCGATATCAGTTACATTGCTGAGCCCCACCCTGTAGACCTCTCTGATTGCTTTAGCCCTCTGTAATCCTGAAGTCCATTGCAGTGAGGTGGTTGGCCTGCCTTTGTGGAACGCTGTGCCGCTGCATCAGTGTGCATTTGGTGCCTGCACACGCCTTTCCAGCAGATATAATCGTGTGGCTTTCTCCTCAGCTCATCTCTCTGATTGAGAATAATTCGGTGGTCATCGTGCGGGGAGCCACGGGCAGTGGGAAAACCACGCAGCTGCCCCAGTTCATCCTCGACTACTACAGAGAGAAGGGAGCCCCGTGCAACATCGTGGTCACCCAGCCACGCAGGATCGCCGCCATCAGCATCGCCCGCTGGGTTGCCCACGAGTGCAAGTGTACCCTTGGCAGTCTGGTGGGATACCAGGTATGAGCGTACCCACCCGTGGTTCCACTATCCACAGAGTTGTTTCTGGGTTTGAGTGGGCTGCATTTGCAGGGGGGGGGGCTTCCTTGCTGTTTAGAGAAACATGGTAATTTCGGTCCAGTTCTGCTCTATTGCGTAACAAGCTCAGAGGACACAGAGTCCAGCACCCTGGGCAACGTTATCTCCTCCCTGTGACCGATCTCCCAGAATTCTTGCTGGTGTTCAGCACAGTTTCCCGACATTCAGATCTGGTAGTCCCTGGGCTGCTTATTGTAACCCCAGTTCTACTATGCAGAGCTGGGCACCTCACGACAGGGTGGGGGGCGGAGTCAGGCCGTGTCTGTACCCTTCACGGCCGGCTGTTTTCAGTCCCGTCTAAACGATGTTTACGTTGCCTGCATTTTGGCTTCCCATGGTAACTCAGCCATTAGCCTTTGGGGAGATTTGTGGGTTAATCCGTTTGTTTATATATTCTTTCAAATGAGGGTACCCAGCTCCTGCATGCTTGAGTAATAGGATAAAAGGTTCTGTCTCTCAGCTGCCTGTAAGCACAATGAAGGCAATGCAAACCTAGATAATGGGCCATAGTCTTAAAAACCCTTTTTGTTTTGTTTATAAGTGAAACTCTAGTTCCTCCAGGTGCTCTGTGGCATCGAGGCAGTGTGATATCAGTCCACATCACTGCACTAATGGCATGGGGGGGTCAGGGGCCATTAGCAGCCTTCCGGCGACATCATACTGCACGTGTCACTGATCACATGAGAGAGATCGAGCTTAATGCAGGAGAGAAAATGGCCCAGATTCTGCCCAGGGGTGTCTGCTGTTTATCCTTCTCCATCTGTGCCATTTGCATGGGCTTCTGTCCTACTTACTCAAGCTTAATTCTGCATGTGTGCCCGTGTGTGTGTGCCCGTGTGTGTGTGCCCGTGTGTGTGTGCCTACACATCCAGGTGAGCCTGACAAAGGTGGCCTCAGACCAGACAAGGCTCATCTATGTGACCACTGGAGTGCTGCTGCAGAAGCTGGTCTTTGCCAAAAGTCTTACTGAGTTTTCACACATCTTCATAGATGAGGTACCTACTGAATACTTTCTTATACCTGTCCTTACATTCCTCACACACCCCATCTCCATAGAGATACCTTCGCCGTACCTCTTTGCTCACCATCTCCATAGAGATACCTTCCCCGTACCTTCTTGCACACTGCACTTAGAGGTACACCTGGGAGATATCCTCCTGATCTTCTGCCTGCCTGTGGATCTCAGGTACATGAGCGCACTGAGGAGCTGGACTTCCTGCTGCTGGTGGTGAGGAAGCTGCTCCACTCCAACTCCCGCTATGTCAAAGTGAGCAGGACATTATCTTGGGGGATCTTGGGTGCTCAGTCAGGTGACATCTACTGATTTTTCTGCACAGTTTTCAGATTGGCACCACCCCGTCGTACCTGAAATGACTGTCCTCCATGAATTCATGATGCCACTTCTCCCAACGCCAGGTTATCCTCATGTCGGCTACCATCAACTGCCGGGAGCTTGCAGAATACTTCGGCACGCCTGTCCGTAACCACGTGAACCCAGCCTATGTTTTTGAGGTGGATGGAGCGCCGTACACCGTCGAGGAATTCTTCCTAGATGATCTGCGCAGCAAGTTCAATCATATGGTGGGCTGCCTTCAGGATGAGGTGTATGGTGGGAAAAGCATTAAAGAACCCAAAGAAGTAATGCAGCCAGTGCAGTGTGCTCTGGCCGGGCTGTGCAGTGTGCTCTGGCCGGGCTGTGCAGTGTGCTCTGGCCGGGCTGTGCAGTGTGCTCTGGCTGGGCTGTGCAGTGCAGGGACCGTCACTGAAGATGAATGGATGTGTCAAGGCTGTTTGTGCTGTATTGTTCAGCAGGTCATTGTGTGTGTGTGTGTGTGTGTGTGTGTGTGTATAAATATTACATTGTGGGCACCAGATGTCCCCACATCTGTGCGGTGATAACCTATTGCGGTGATAACCTATTATTTTGACATTGTGGGGGCATTTTTTGGGTTCCCACAAGGGAAAACTAAATTGTACAAGAATATGTGAATGCAATCAAAAACTAAAAATGTCTTGCATCTTGTTTGGTTACTCATGGTTAAGGTTAGGGCTGGTTAGGGGGTTATTGTTAGGATTAGGGTTTTCCCCATAGAAATGAATGGATGGTCCCCACAACGATATCAATACAGACGTCTGTCTGTGTCTCAGGTGGAGCACCACAACTCTGAGGAGCCCTGCATCACTACAGAGATGTACGATATGGCTGTCAGCCTCATCCAAAGCTTTGATGAGCTGGAGAACAAAGACCAGAGGTTTGTGGGATCAGGGCAGTTACTCGTAGCAGCCTGCCATTGCATTCCTGCTGGGTGGCGCAGTGCTGCATTAACTACACTGAAGCTACACTGCCGTACTATTAAATCGTCACAGTATGCACTACTGCTTCCATCACTCCTTTGATTGTTACTGATAATACTGCTGTATGCTGGGTGTGTGACAGCAGCGCTGAGGCGGTGGTCTCTGGTGACGTGGCCCTACCGAATCGGGGCAGTGTGCTAGTCTTCCTGCCGGGCCTGGCTGAGATCCAGTACATGCAAGAGGCCCTGGCCAACCTGGTGCGAAAGAGGTACATGTGGCAGGTCAGAGAGGAGAGAGACTCTCCCCGTGCCGCCACAGAGCTGCTTGTTTTGACCATGGGCAGGCTGTGTGTGTTGCAGGTTGCAGGTGTACCCACTCCACTCCACAATCACCTTGGAGGAGCAGAACGCCTTGTTTCTGGTTCCAATTCCGGGGTACAGGAAGGTAGCTCCCGCTACAATGGGTGGGGGGGGGGGGGTGTTTGTCCCATTCATTGCTGGTTTGTGTTTAATGTGCGGCGCTCTACTTCACAGGTCATCCTGTCCACCAACATCGCCGAGAGCTCCGTGACGGTGCCCGACGTGAAGTACGGTGGGTGTGTTCCGCCCATAGTGCGCGGGGAGTCGCAGGTTTGCTGCTCTGTCCTGAGGCGCCCCTCTCTTTTCTTCTGCTGGTTCCCGTAGTGATCGACTTCTGTCTGGCGCGGCAACTCTTCTGGGATAAGAGAACCCATTACCAGAGCCTGTGCCTCACCTGGGCTTCCAAGACTAGCTGCAATCAGAGAAGAGGTGCGTGATCTTCCTGGAAACATTTGTTTGGTTGATTTGACAGGGTCCAGTGGGTCTCCAGGACCTGTTGGGTTTTTCCAGGTCGGGCAGGACGTGTCTCTAAAGGCTACTGTTACCGGCTGGTGACCAGGAAGTTCTGGAGATCTGCGATCCCAGAATACATGATTCCTGAAATGCTGGTATGATGCGATACATTCTGTATCATGGCGTTGTGCTCAGCGTCAGTCCACCGTGAACTCAGACCTCATACCGGTTTGCCCAGCGGTCACCCTTGGCTACCACCATGCTGAAAGTGAAACTGCTGGATATGGGGGACCCCCGATCTCTTCTGTCCACTGCTCTGTCACCCCCCCACCTTAATGACATCGAGAGGACTGTGCTGCAGCTCAAAGAGGTATGCATGCCTATGCTTGTGCATGTTGGGATCTGCCGTTTGCATGTTTGTCTGGATGAACCCACGTTTGTATTTCTGGGGTATTTTTAGCAACATAAGTTGTTTCCACAAATATTGTAGTTAATATACTACTTAACCAGAATCTGTGTGTTGGTTACATACTGATCGCATGTTAGTTCATCATCAGTCAGTCATAACTGATGATGTATTTCATGCAGCTACTATATTTGCTCATGATTTGTACCTCCTCACCTAAAGTGTTACCTGAAAGTTTTATACCACTTGCTGAT